CATGCTCAGTTTCAATGTTGTGGCCATATTTAACGTGTAATAATAAATCTTTAAATTCTTCGTCTTCGTCTTCGTCTTCCTCCGCTTATCCGGGTCCGGGTCGCGGGGGCAGCATCCCAATTTGGGAGCTCCAGGCCGTCCTCTCCCCGGCCTTGTCCACCAGCTCCTCCGGCAGGACCCCAAGGCGTTCCCGGACCAAATTGGAGATGTAACCTCTCCAACGTGTCCTGGGTCGACCCGGGGGCCTTCTGCCGGCAGGACATGCCCGAAACACCTCCCCGGGGAGGCGTCCAGGAGGCATCCTGACCAGATGCCCAAACCACCTCAACTGGCTCCTTTCGATCCGGAGGAGCAGCGGTTCTACTCCGAGTCCCCCCCGAATGTCCGAGCTCCTCACCCTATCTCTAAGGCTGAGCCCGGCCACCCTACGGAGGAAACTCATTTCGGCCGCTTGTATCCGCGATCTCGTTCTTTCGGTCATTACCCAAAGCTCATGACCATAGGTGAGGATTGGGACATAGATCGACCGGTAAATCGAGAGCCTGGCTCCTCCTTGAACCGTCACCTTATCGTGGTGGAGGAGTTTGAGTGCCCTAATGATCCTAGGAGCTATGTTGTCTGGGGCACTTAGTGCCCCTGGTAGGGTCTCCCATGACAAATTGGTCTTAGGTGAAGGGTGAGACAAAGCACGGTTCGAAGGATCTTTCATGGCGGTTAAAACGAAGAGTCGGAGTACCCGGCCCGGAGGGTTACCGGGGTCCCACCCTGGAGCCAGGCCTGGGGTTGGGGCCCGTGAGCGAGCGCCTGGTGGCCGGGCTTTCGCCCATGGGGCCCGGCCGGGCCCAGCCCGAACCGGATACATGGGCTCGTCCAACTGTGGACCCACCACCCGCAGGAGGAACATGAAGGGTCCGGTGCAATGCGATTCGGGTGGCAGACCAAGGCGGGAGCCTTGGCGGTCCAATCCCCGGACAAGAAAACTAGTTTTAAATTCAGTAACTAGTTCTATTCTTTCATAATTCACCTTTAGCTTTCACACCGAAAGCTAAATAAAAGAACTGTTTCTGTTTTGTCCATTTTTACTTCACTTGTGATCCTTAAGGAAAGTAAAAACCTACTTCTATCAGTATTTATGTGTAATTAATGAATGCAAATGAGAATTACATTTTTATCAAAACGTTCCCATATTTCTAAGATGTTTTTAATTAGTTAGATTTTTAAGTGGCTGCTTTGTTAAACTATAAGAACTGAGTGATTTTGCTGCCATTTAAATGGATCATTAGAATAGCATAGGTTGTACCACAGTTTGTCTTTTTGTGAAGTGATAAAGGGCCGAATACTGAGGCTTGTGGAACTCCTTTAGTGCATTTTGAGTAATGACTGAATCATACATCTCATTTAACACGTTTCACAAACAAGCACTAAAAACTAAATTGGCTAAAGGCTAAATTTAGACAGTTTGGATCAGACTTTTAAATGCTTCAAGTAGATATAAAAATGATAAATGACCCACTTGTATAGGGCCTTCCAGAGTCAGAGAACTTCGAAGCACCTTACACTTCAGTGAACCATTCATCCATTCTCTCACACGCTGGTGATGAGCTACAACGTAGTCACAGCTGCCTTTGGGCACAATGATGGAGGCAAGGCTGCTGAACACGAATGCCACAGCCGGACTGAGCCTGGGTATCAAACCCAGTGGCTATAGGACGAACTCCCAACCCCTGCTGCCCTGAACTACTTAAGCTTAGAAATTTGGCCACCAAACAAAACATGAAATAAAAAAATGAGGCAGCAACAATTTTGTCTTTATGGTTGTTAGCAAAACAACTCGAGCCATTCAGTCTAATTTAAGACTGGGTCTTCATTTATAATCGATTAGGTCAACCTGATTCAAGCTAGCTGCTGCAGCTAACTGTCATTAGCATGCACAGAAATGGCTTTGAATAATAATAATACATCAAACTTATATAGCGCTTGTTTAGGACACTCAAAGACGCTTCCATGCACTCTCACATTCACACACTGCCAGTGACGGTAGGCTGCTTTATAGCCACAGTCGCCCTGGGACGGTCTGACGGAGGCGAGGCTGCCATTTGGCGCCGTCGGCCCCTAACGTTTGGTTTAGTGGCGGCTCAGCGTCTTCCACAACAGAAACTCTAGAAAATTAGTTTCAACTTGTGTTTGTGGTCAGATAACCCCGTCTGACCCAGAGATCATGCTTTAATAAGGAAAATCTTGGTTGGACGTGAATCTACAGCTGATGAATTAGTCATCTTAGCAAACATAAATTCTAATTTTGTCACGTTCTGGTGTTCTGTCAGATGGTGTGTGATGTCATTTTGAAGATTTTACGATTATGGCTCCAACGGTTTCCTCGATGGATGATTTAGGTGTAAAACTCTCATGAGGAGCCTCTAATGGTCATAATATTTCATCAATAGTCATACTTTCTTCTTCCGGCTCTTGGAGAGTACAGACGCTTTTTTTTCTCCTCTCCTCCCTCCCCATCCCAATGTCTGTTTGTCTGTCTTTGGGTGCACAGTGCTTCTGCATTTTTTTGGAAACTGGAAATTATTAAGAATGGGCCTGGTCAGTTGGTCTCTCATCGTGATTGACAAAATGTTTTCAACGATGAGAACGGGAGAAGGGGCTCCCGGTTGCCCCTCTGGGACAGAGCTAGCTGGGCATATCATGGACTCCTGGAAACAGTGGAACATGGTCTTCCTCTCTCAACTGTCTGTAGAGGATTCTGATGATGCCTGGATATTCGTCGTTTTGGTGTCGGGATCCCTGCTGTTTGGCCTGAGCGGTTACCTGGCTTACCGGAAAATTAACGAGCTTTCGAGGAATATTGGCTCAATCCCAGTGCTCAGGGATGGAATGCATCGCGATGTGAACGCACAAACTCATATAATTGTCAAAGTGAGTCGTAAGCTTGGAACTTTGGCTGAGATTCAGGCTCTGGCACAGAAGGTGGATACCATCAAGGAGAGAGTTGACGGGACAGCACGAATTGGGATAGATTAATTACGCCATGGATCTAGAGGGGTTGTAGATCAACGGAAAACACTAAGGTAGAGAGGAAATTATCTCTGTCTGTCCCCAAAACAATTCTTATCTGAATCTGGTGCCCTTGAGCCTGTGAGGCTGAAGTGATAACTCCCCCCTCAGAAGAAATGTGGAATGCTGCCATCGCTATGGAAACCCTTTCTCCCTATCCCAGCCTGGGCGGGACTGTGACCGGTGAAGGCCATGGAACCGTATCTAGGAGTCACTGTGCTCTCTAACCCATTATCTCCCTCCCCTGTCCAAACGGAGGTGATGAGCGCTGCTCCATGCGGCTGCACGCACTGACGTGAGGAGAGTCCCAACCCTACCACCCCACCTAGTGGACACTTATGTTGTGTATCGTCTGAAGTCTGTGTGCACATCTGTCTGAGGTGTTTTTTTGCATAGCAAAGCTATCCTCTCTGTGGAGGGTAACTCTGAAGTGCCTTTTTTTCCCTCCCCCTGACTCTATCCTCATATAAACCCCTCTTGATCTATTATAGTAGCGCAACTCGGGTTGCGAATGACCACAGTCACCAATTCTTGTCATGTGTCTATGTATGTATGTCTGATCTCAGAATTGTGTGTGCTGAAACTCTGATTTCCCTCTGGGATTAATAAAGTATTACTGAATTAAATTGAATTGAATATTCATCAGGTCCTAATGACTATGAATAGATTTTAAAAGATAGTGGTTGTGAATATAACCCGACTGAAGAACCTCACAGTGAGAATATGAGACTAAGGTTTGGTTTGACAGATGCAGTAAGAATGACAACGAGTCTGCAAAACACAAAACACAGACATCTGCTGTATCGGTGGAGACGGGGACTCCAGCAAGCGTCCCTCTGATAAATCTGAGAGGATGTCATTGAGAGGAAAACCACTTCCGTAGGGCAGGAATTAACTGGGAAAGTCAAATCTGCCCTCACCGGTGTGCACGGCTAATTTACCGCCTGTTACAGACGCTCCGACAGCCACCATGTGCAATACAACCATTTACTTTGAGTTCTGCTTTAATTTATGGCAGCACAAATGACCGGATTTGGACCTGACAGGGATTAAGACATGTTAAATTAATAATATTTATCTCTCTTTTTTTACACAGATAAACACTATGAAATGATGAAATCCAATTAGAGCATTAAGGGACACCGAGGCAGGATCCAAGAGTATTAAGCCATCTGCCAGTGAGTAAAGAATGCTGCAGGGCTGTCTAACTGAATTTTATCCTCTCACTGTAAATCTTGCAAGTGACCCAAATCGATCAAAAGTTTGCCTAAACAGGGAACAAAATAAAAAATAAAAAAATAAAACATCAGACCTTGCAAAACTGTCACATAATCTTAGGATTATGTGCTGTGCAACAAGGTGAGTGTTTCTGCTCATGCACACAAACGCCTGCCAGGAAACGTCTGAGGCAGGAAATGTGCGAAGTGGGAAGGAGAGAAGATGCATTTCAGCATGATTTTATTTTCTACAGTAAACAGGAACAAGGAGAGATGGAGATCTCCAATGAGCTGGAGTGACATTTCCTAAATGTCAGGACAGCTGGAAAAGCTTGAAACAGAAACAAATATGCAGCCAGAATTCTGAAAGACAGGATAAAAACTTGTGCATTCACCCGTTTTGGACATTTTCTGAGCGTCACCCAGCTGTCTGCTGCACTGGTGATGGGTTGCTGCATTCTCTTTCCGCAGATCACTAAAATCTGCTGGCCCTGTTTCAGCTAAATCTAACAATTTACGCTCATTCTGCGCGTGTCATGTTTGATGTGCACGAGTAGAACGCTGCAGCTTATTTGCATTTGGTTTTAATATGACTTCAGTATGAAAACTTGAGTAAAATCAGTACATTTGTGCAAGAGAAATATCATTACAATAAGTTTTGTTGGTTTGTTTTGCAAAGCAGAGCAACATGCAAAAGCTCCATTCTTAAACATGTTTTACCTGCGGTCTCCGGATTCTGCGCGCATCCTTCATGGTGCTGCTGGGCTGAACCAGGAGAGAAACGGCGCAAAAACACCAACAAGAGAACAAATCTGAACTGACGCGCATTAAATGCAGTTTTCTGTCTTTTCTCTTGAGAGGAAAAACCTCCGCAAGTCGGCAGCGGCTGAGTGGAGGCTGCGTCCGCGTGCACCGCCTTTACGAGCGGCTACTGATGTCCCTGCTCTCGCGCTGGCACTTTTATTTCTGTCGGTGGCAGAAAAATAATTTAATAAAAACGGGAAAAGGAGGAGGATGAAAGAGGAGCTGGAGCGTCCGCTAGATGGCGCAATGCAGGCGATCAATTGGAGAGCGCTATCAGGCGCGCGCGCGCACACCCGCAGACGCACGATGCTGTCGTTAACTTGTTACACACAATTACACGTTCACACCACGTGACCCGGTTTGGTCCAACCTAATGTGGCTCCAAAAATAAAAAATTAATAAATGACTCAACCTAAAAGTTTTTTTTCTGATGGATCATAAAAAGTATTTTATTAAAATGACTTTATCATACAAAAAATAAGACAATTTAAAAAGACGTCACTTCTTTTTTCTTCTCAAAAGCTCATATATGGGGAAGGGATTGTGAAAATTAACCAGTTCTTATGTCATGTTTGTTTTTAAATACATTCTGTTAATGTTTATCCAAACGGTAAACGCAACCAAATCAACTTTAGAAAAAATTGATTAAATTTTAATCTACAGGTAAAAGGGAAAATCATGATGACTAAGGGATTAAAGAAGTTGTGTGCAAAAAAGAATAATTTATGTAGGAGTTTTTAAAATTGCAAACAAGGGACGCGGAAGATAGATATAAAAATATAAAAGTTAATTGGTGACAATAATTAGGAAGCAACAAAAAGATTAGTATGGTAATCTATTGAATCAGAATAAAAATAACACAAAAGCTACTTGGGGAATACTAAACAGTGTGACTAATAGAGAGAAAACAAAATCCAGTATTCCAAATCACTTTGTCAAGGACAAAAAAGATATTTATGATGATAAAGAAATCACTGATGAGTTTAATGATTTTTTTGTAAATGTAGGTAGGAGTTTGATGGAGACAAACCAATAATAGAAGATAAACTGACCACAATGACTAGTACTGTCAATAGTATTGTCCTTGACAAAGTAGATAAAGAAGAAATACGAAACATGGTAAAAAACAGTGGAAACAAACGATCAACCGATGATCAGGATCTGGACATGATAACTGTTAAAACCATCTTAGAATCTGTCATTCAACCATTCACTTACATTTGTAATCTATCACTTTCTGCTGGAAAGTTTCCTGACACAATGAAAACAGCAAAAGTCATTCCTTTGTACAAGAGTGGTGATATATATAGTTTCAATAATTACAGGCCGGTGTCACTGCTTCCACAGTTTTCTAAAATATTGGAAAAAGTATTTGTATCAAGGTTGGATAAATTCATCGAAAAAAATAATATTTTAAATAATGAACAATATGGGTTTAGAACTAAACATTCCACAGCAATGGCAATAATGGAATTAACGGATAAAATATCAACAGCAATTGACAATAAAATTACTTTGTTAGTGTTTTCATTGATTTGAAAAAAAGCTTTTGACGTCATTGATCACTCAAGGTTACTTCGAAAATTAGGTCAGTATGGAATAAGAGGTGTGGCTCATCAATGGGTTAAAACTTATTTAGAAAATAGGAAACAGTTTGTTCAGATAAAGGACCACAAGTCAAAACTATGTGAAATTAATTGAGGAGTGCCACAAGGGTCGGTCCTTGGACCAAAACTGTTCATTTTGTTTATTAACGACTTGGTAAATGTATCTAAGACACTCGGTACCATTCTATTTGCAGATGATACAACACTGTTTTACTCAGGATCAAATAATGAGGAAGTGGCTAAAGTGATGAATGATGAACTGATTAAAATTAAAAACTGGTTTGATATAAATAGATTGGCCCTGAATCTTAATAAAACACATTTTATACTGTTTAATGATAAAAAGAACAGTGATGTGTCATTGGAAATAGATGGGATTGCAATTCAAAGAGTAAAAGAAACTAAAGTTCTTGGAGTTCTTATTGATGAAGACTTGTCATGGAAATCCCATATTAGTTACATAAAAGGTAAAATTGCCAAATCCTTCGGAGTATTACATAGAGTCAAGTTTTACTGACTAATTCTGGTTTGTTGGCATTGTACAATTCACTGATTGTTCCATACTTGACTTATTGTGTAGAAATGTGGGGAGCAACATAAAAAAACTACACACAACCCTTATTTATTTTACAGAAAAGAGCTCTGAGAATCATCAATTATAGTGGCTGTAGAGATCCATCAAACCCATTGTTTATTAAATATGAATTACTGAAATGATTTAAAAGACTGGAAAATCATACAAACCATGTATAAAGCCAATTTCGGTACTCTGCCAACAAACATTCAGGGGATATTTGAAAAGAGAACTAGTAATTAAATGCTGAAAGAAACTGATGTGTTTACAAAACCTAGATTTAGAACTAAAATTAAGGAGTGGAACATTTCTGTAAATGGTGTTAAATTATGGAATAACCTTAAAAGGGAAATTAAAAAACTCTGTCATTTAATATATTCAAAAAATATACCAAATTGAGTGTACTAAATAATTATGAAAATGTAAATTAAATCACTGATCATGATCGCACTGGAATTAAGAACAGGAAAAAGTTTTAAATGAATCTGTATGTGTGTCTGATGAATGGAAATTATATATAAATTGATTATTTCTACTGGAAAATGGGGCAGAAATTATAAGATGTTTTTCTTCATTCTGCTTTTCGTTCAAATATGATTTTTGTTATGTATTACTTATTGTTTATATGTTTTATTTGTTTTTATTTTGAATGAAATAAATGAAGAAAACATTGAAATAATCAGAATCAAATAAAAACTATAAAGTTAAACCCAAAACATTCAGTATCTAATCCAAGCATAGAAATATGAATATATGAATGCATGTATGGATGTATGTATGTATATATATGTACTGTATATATATATATATATATATATATATATATATATATATATATATATATATATATATATATATATATATATATATATGAGTTCAAATCTCACTTAAAGCAAAACGTTTTATGTGTAGTGATCTGAGTAAATGTTTTTATCAATTAACTAAATGTGCAAGTCTCATGTGAAGATGAAGAAATCAAAGTTACCAGATAAAACTCAGTGAGAAATGACCTAAAGAGCGAGATCACAGATTCAAGAGGCCAAAATTAGTTTTCTCTGCAGGGTGTCTGGGCTCTACCGTAGAGATAAGGTGAGACGCCCTGGCATACAGGAGGGGCTCGGAGTAGATCTGCTGCACCTCCACATTGAGAGGAGCCAGCCTCAAACATGAATGGACAGCATATCTTAAATTTGTGCTGAAAGCTGCAGCTGGCATTCCAACCTGGAACCTCCTTGTTGTGAGGCAATAATCAATAGATGAATATTTTATTGGTTTCTCGGAACGTTGAACATGCGGTTGTACTTTAGCATCAACAAAAGATCTACAGACTTAGCGAGCTAGTCGGCCAGGAGCGTCTCTCCTCCACCTTGAGTCTATCTTAGAGGTTGTAAAAATGTCTGTGAACAGTTACAACTGACCTAAACATCCTAACATTTAAATATAAACACGCCACTTAATGTTGAAGTTCTTTACATTCATATATCTAATTGTAGATGTAATGGTAGGAGCTCCTGTGGCGCAATCGGTTAGCGCATGGTACTTATATGACAGTATGACATGAAGCTATGCCAAGGTTGTGAGTTCGAGCCTCACCAGGAGCACATGTTTATCAGTTAGTTTATGTTTATAGTGATTTGACCGACAGAACAAGATCACAGAGACAAGTGGCCTAAATGAGTTTTCTCTGCAGAGTGGCTGCTCTCTCTTAGAGATAGGGTTAGAAGCTCGATCATCCAAGAGGGGCTCAGAGTAGATCCGCTGCTCCTCCACAACGAGAGGAGTCAGTTGAGGTGGCTCGGGCATCTGGTTAGGATGCCTCCTGGACACCTCCCTGGTGAGGCTTTACAGGCACGTTCAACTGGGAGGAGACCTTAAAGAAGACCCAGGACACGCTGGAGGGACTGTGTCTCTCACCTGGCCAGGGAACACCTTAGGTTTCCCCAGAGGAGCTGGCTCAAGTGGTTGGTGAGAAGGAAGTCTGGGCCTCCCTGTTTAATCTCGGTTTATGCTTGACGCGTCTGCGAGGTTGCCAGACACAGCTCCACGTGGCAAAATTACGTCATTTTAGCAACTACGCCCCTCCACGCGGCCCAAAGTTTCCGCTGCATGCACCTAGGAAATTTTCCAACCACGCGGACGGTCCTGCATGGAAAAACATGGCAGACTGGCAAGTGCTCATAGGGGCGGAGGTTTGTAAGTACAGACGTCTTTATGGTTCGGTCCATAAAGATCCTTGTGATCAAAAATTTGTTGATAATTGCTGTCACAGTCAGAAAAGACAAGGACCCGGTGAAAGAATGTTGTAAAAAAAAAGACATTTCTTCTTCTACTATGGTGTAGTGTTGGATGCATGCTGTAGAGCCCCACGCTGCCCCCTCCAGTCTGGGAGAATATTGGCTCACAGCGAAGGTAAGCCACAGGAACTATAAACGCTGCAACTTCCGAGGCGTGTTCCATCCATGAATCTGGTTTCCGCGCGGATCGTACTCGTGTCAAGCATGAACCAAGCTTTAGGCTGCTGTCCCCACGACCAGACCCCAGATAAGAGGACAAAAACCGATGCATGGATGGAATTCAATAGATGAATATTTTATTGGTTTCTCAGAACGTTGAACATGTGGTTGTACTTTAGCATCAACAAAAGGAATACACCTCATGAACACACAACACTATATTGTAGCAGGCGGAGGGAGACTAGGGGTCTTAGCACACCTCTTGTCGCTTGGCTTCCTGGGGCTGGAGGCTAGGAGGGAGATCTGGCCGTCTGGTTGGGGTCTGGGGTGGTGGGTTGCTGTGCTCAGCGTTGGGCGGGGGAGCCTGCTCATCAGCACCCCAGCAGAAAGAGTCAAACTCTGGTTACCGGTGATGGTTGTACCCCATGTGCAGCAGTACCGGGACCAGAGTGAATAGGGTGTGTATGGGGAGCATGAGTGGGTGTCCGGCGTGCATTTTTGTAAGTCTTTGTTGTATGTGCATGTGTGAGCATGAGGGAGGGAGTGT